TGGCTCGATTTGCGAGAGAATAACGTACGTCTGTCCCCTGGAATCTTCGACAATGTACCGGAGCTAGAAGTGCTCGAGTTAGGTAACAACATGATGGAGGACGTCGAACTGGGTACGTTCGATCCGCTAACGAAGTTACAATTCCTGAACTTGTGGAGGAACAAGTTCACGAAACTCGAGTCTGGCATGTTCCACAAGCTCGCCTCTTTGCATTCGCTGGACTTGAACTCGAACGAGTTAACCACCCTGCCCGAAGACGTCTTCGCGAAACTGGAAGAATTGGAAGCGTTGAATCTGTTCTGGAATAACTTCTCATCGTTGCCGGAAGGTTTGCTGCGGCACAACGTGAATCTGAAGAACGTGAACATGTACGGTAACAAAAGGAACATGACGGAGCTACCGCGAGGATTGTTCGCGAATTTAACAAATCTCGAAGCTGTACAATTGAAGAGCAACGGTTTGATCAGAGTGCCGAGTGATCTGTTTCGCGGCTCAGTTTCGCTGAAGAACGTTAGTTTAGCGAGGAATTACATCGAGTCCCTACCTAAGGATCTTTTCAAGGATTTGATCAATTTGTCGATGTTAGATCTCCACCTGAATGAACTAACGTCGCTGCCTGACGAAGTTTTCTCGTATTTGAATCGTCTGGTTAAGCTGAACTTGTCCAAAAATCATCTTACTTCGATATCTAGGTAAGTTTGCTTGTTTTTTTTTAATCTTGCTGGAAAATGTTCACAACAATCTTTGTTGAATAACGACGAAACGTTAATTTCGAAGGAATTAGAATGAACTTAGATATTACATTGGCAAGTTCGTTTGTAATTGAAAGGATATTTTGAAGCTTTCTATTTTCATATTCTTGAAATAAACGCGCTGTATAGAATAGGCGATTTTCAGTTTATAAAAATTCACGTCGAATGAAATTCTGGTATTGAATGTTTTCTTCTTCGATATTTCAGACGTCTCTTTAGCGATTTAAGATCGTTGCAAATTTTGGACATGCAGGAGAATCAGTTGAAAACGATAGAAGATACGAGCTTTAATTCCTTGACCAACCTGCGAGTTGCATTTTTCTCTAACAATCAACTAACATTTAACAATTCGTTGTCCTTCTACCAAGACGAGTATGGGAGAAAATCACCATTCCACGGCTGCACCTCTCTAGAAGAATTGTATCTGGCGAATAACAATATCTCGGAGATATTTGGCGATTGGATCATAAGCAGCTTGAAGTTGCGAGTATTAGATCTCAAGTTTAACAAGATACCGAACATATCGGTAAGTTGAAAATATCCATGAAATATCACAAGAAAATAATGAATCTTCCGCTAAAATTAGTTGGTGAACTATTTTAACAAACTGTTTTACACTTTTTACATTCGATGGTGTAATTTCATACTTTGCTTACAAATAAGTTAACAATTCAATAGCAAATTCACACCTTCTCCAACGGGTATTTTTCCCGTACAACTGTTCTTTCATACGAAGCAGAACTGAAAGTTTCTTAAAAAGTTTTGTTAAAACAATTGTGATACTTTATTGTAAAACAGTCTTTAATGAAATATTTCACAAGCTTCTGTTTTCCAAGCACTCATTCATATGAAACGCACACAATACCTCACGTGGTAGTTTTGTCGATAACTTTCGTAACTTCTTCTATTTTGCAACTCTGTTTCAGACCGAAGATCTGCAATTTCTATCGAACAATATTAAAGTAGATCTGACGCACAATCAGATATCGCACATCTACTTAAACAGAGCTGAGGAGGTAGCCAAGTACCAGCACACTGCTCGTGACGTGATAATATTAGTCGAAAATAATCCCATAGTTTGCGATTGCGATATATACGACTTTCTCCGTTACTTGGAAGGAAGAATGCACCACAACGTTCAAAACTATTTTCATATAATAATCGGTAACTTGATGTGTCGATCTCCCGAGACGCTGGCAGAGATCGCTGTGGCGAACTTGAAGTCGAAAACGCTAAGATGTCAAGAATTCGACGTATGCCCGAAGAATTGCGATTGTTGGATAAAACGTAACGACAAGGCGTTCCTGGTCGATTGTTCGAACAGAAATTTAACAAGCGTGCCGGAAAATATTCGAACATTGCCGCAGCATCGACTCGAATTAAATTTCGCGGGCAACAAATTGACCAGAATGTCGCCTTTGGCTGATATTGGCTTGAACAATGTACCGATATCCAAATTGTTGTTATCGAACAACAATATCTATGACATATCTGTGGACGAATTACCATTGAATATCGAGGTTTGTATTTAAATAGAAATCTTTCTTCTTTGAAGATCGTTGTACACACGACAGCTTTCCCGTTTTAATACGTTTAAATTAATCGATTAGTATTTGAAATACTTCTGTTCGCATGAACATTGACTAAATATCATCGTATTATCTCGAACACAAGTTTAGAATGAATAAGTGTGTTGATAAACCGATAATGTTTCAGACCTTGGAGCTGCACAATAATAACATCAGCAAACTGAACTCGGATGCTTTGCATTTCATGGACAATTCTAGCTCTTTAATGACGCTGACGCTACACGAGAATCCATGGAAATGCGATTGCAGTGCGATAGATTTTCTTAATTTCATTCAAACCAAAGTCATAGAAATACCTAGTTCTTTGCTGATCACGTGCCAGGGCAAGAACGTTCCAATGTTGAAGATGATAGCGACAGACCTGTGTCCTGCAGATACCATACTGATCGTAGGAATTAGCCTAGCCATAGCTATTATTGGACTGATAATAGGTTTGCTAGCGGCTCTGTACTATAGGTATCAACGGGAAATTAAGGTTTGGTTATACGCGCATCAGTTCTGCTTGTGGTTAGTAACAGAAGATGAACTAGATAAAGACAAACTGTACGACGCGTTCATAAGTTATTCGCACAGAGACGAGGACTTTGTCGTGAACGAATTAGTACCAAAGCTAGAACGTGGCCCCAGACCGTTCAAACTGTGCCTGCATTTTCGTGATTGGCTTGCTGGAGAATGGATACCAAATCAGATCGCGCGTTCCGTTGACAATTCCAGGCGAACAATAGTGGTTTTGTCACCTAACTTTCTCGAGAGTGTTTGGGGACGAATGGAGTTCAGAGCGGCGCATAGTCAAGCGCTCAGCGAAGGCAGAGCAAGAGTTATCTTAATTTTGTACGGTGAAATTGGTCCCACCGACGATTTAGATCCAGAACTTAAAGCTTATTTGAGCATGAACACATATGTAAAATGGGGCGATCCTTGGTTCTGGGATAAATTACGATACGCGCTACCGCATCCTCCAGAATTTACAAAGAATACCATCAGAAGGAAGATCTTCGAAAAGCATCAACCGTGTATACAACTTCATGGCGAGAAGAAAGAATTGATCTACCCGGTTGGCGTTCCTGAGACACCACCTGCGGCAAGCACTCCGCCAGCAGATAGTCTTAAAGTATTTATATGTGACGAGAATAACGGAGAAAAGAAAGAAAATTTAGAAAAGCTGCCCTCTCCAGACAGCAATACTAAACTTATGTTTCCGTCTGAAGAATTAATAAAACATAATTTGATCAATAAGATACAATGTACTCCCGTATGAAATGCATTCAAGGATATACGTAACAGTTTCCAGATTTCATTTTTTTTTATAAAGAAAAGACTCATAAATTTTTGGTTTTTAGCACATGTCTGAATAACTATAAACAATTGAATTTTACTATGATTTTATTAAAAAGGAGATTGATTATTTTCGAATAAAAAGATGTATGTTAGGTAAAATATAGTTAACACTTGCAAATGTATTTATAAAGAATTTGGGATATATCGAACTTACCCAAAATATTTTGATAATTAGTGCATGAACTAACTTGCTTGTATAATTCTCAAAATTTTGATTAGTCTACACACCCATGTTTTTCTGAAAGTATCGACAAATACTTGTTGATATGCAGTGCAACGCCAGGAATTCTTTATTATATTTATTTTATAAAGACAATTCATCTCATACTTAGATTTATAAATTTGTTTAATGGACCTTTAAGTATCAATATAAGTGAATGTTGAAGACAAATTACATACGACTGAACAAACTTAGGTTTAGAAAAGTTATAAATCACTGTAAATAGGTATTTTTTGTAATTTTGTATGGATTTTAACTTGGAATGTGTTGCCATTACTATAAAAGTAGATAATTATCATAGAAATAGAATCAATCTTGTGTCAAACATTTCCAAAATCATCTTTATCATATAGAGTTTGTTTCCATTTAATGTGCTTTATGTATGTATACTTTGTACCCTTTTTCATCATTCATATGTATACATACATATGTAAGCACTAATAGATTGTCAGTGCGATTCAATTTGCGTTACCATTTGCGTTTTCACATAAGCTTAAGAACACATACAAACGTATGTTGTACATAGGTATGCTATATAACTATTATTTTATTGCTCAATTTTATGAGCACGGTAATTTTTTTATAGCTATTGTTAAAAATAAAAAATAAATTGTTATAAGTGTTAATAAAGAATCATAATGATAGTAATTCAAAATTTCGACTGGAAAAATAAATAAAGAATCTCATTATAAAATGTTAATTTCGCCATTAATGATTTTTTACTGTATTGTACTTCATTATTAATATAAGTTTATTATAAGAAACTAAGTGAGTACCTGAGAAATAAATATTCATACAATCGTTTAAACATATTGTGTACATTTGTATAGTTACATATTTCTCATTTTTAATTATATTATAACATATATTTTATTTCATATATACGAAACATAAACACAAAGAGATCCATAAAATTGGTTTTTAGACTGAAAATACTAATCATACGAATAATGGAACAACTGTTCCTGTTGTTTCCTGATTATTAAAGTTCAATACCAATTTTTTATGATTTATTATATATTTAAATATTGACAGTACAATGAGTAATAATAAATGAATGAAGCTACTGATTGTATTAAAATAAAAATTGCTTTTACTTACCCATAACAGCTTTGGAGTTCCGATTCCTACAGACTCGTTACATATAAATCGTACTTCAGATGTGTAGGATGTTTTACCTGGTTAAACGATAAAAAAATTGAATAAAATCTATTATATAACTTTCTACTATTGGAAAAGGATACCTTATACATGTATTATATACTTACTATCTATACATTTACCACCATTAGAGTATTTAAGTTTTATAACATTTCTGCCATAATCAAAAATTACATTTGTCAGTGATCCATAACCATTATTTCCTTGGCATACTGCAGAACCATTGCAAATCTTTTCTCCTCCACATATACTTATACTATATTCTTTACCTTGCTTGTTCTTTACCTGTAGATCCGTGAATTTTTTAAAGCATTACAGGCATATTTAAAATTATATTATCTTAAACCGCGAGATAAATATTTTATGTTGAAGAATACTATCTTATAATATGAACAGTATATGATATACATTTCATCAAATGCATTTACAAAAATAAGTTATTAAACATTAAGAGACTTACGTAGTATATTTTTTTATCTTTATGTAACAAGGAAAGGTTACATTCATGTGAAAGCCACTGCTCCTTTATAGTACAAGGTGGAGTCCAATTTCCCATTACAGCTCCACATGTTATGCTCGTTTTCCACTCAAAAATATAAGTACAGTCTTCATATTTTTTAAGTTCTGGAAATCATAAATTACCTTATCATTATACTGGCATGGGAACGTAAAATTCGAGGAAATTAATTTATTTGAATTTTCAGGGCAGACTGATCCGCCTAGGTACCGTAACACCGTTTCATGATTTTTATTCACTATAGGACTCTCTTTTGGAAAACCCAAACTCTGCCAACAAATGTAAACAATTTTGTTTTACTATTATTTAATTAATTTAAACGCAGCAATTGGTTACTTTTAAATACATATATGTAGTATTTTTATTGCAGCAAAATTATAATATAAATTTGTAAAACAGGAATTACCATCTTTTTACTACATTTTTATGTAAACAAATTTATAATTGTTACTTACAACCTCATTTATATATTCTTTATCTGAACTTAGTGAAGTTTTGCAAACTGCACTGCCATGTGCACATGTTAAACCTGGTACAGGGACCAGTGGTCTACATACATTTATGTGAAATTCAGTTTTGTTCACCTTTATAATATAATTACTAGTAGATTTGATCAATGAACTTAAATTCACTTCATCGTCATCTGTAGCACATTTTACCTGCAAAATATAAATTTCCTATTCTGTATGAATTTTTTTTTTTAAAGAAAAAGGTATTCAAAGAAGTAATAGCATTCATGGAATAAAAATTGAATGTGCAAATCATTATCTTACCCTTTTCTCACAAACCAAATTGGTATTCCAATGTATGATTAACTGACAAGAATTTTGTTCCATAACAAGTGGTTCCTCGGAAGATCCTTCTGCTCCGCATAAAAATGCAATAATTGTATATCGTCGTTGTCCATTTTCACATAAGTCTCCATCTGTATAATTCAAATATGGGCCACCCTCTTCCCACATTAAATTTGTGTTAACCTTTCCCATAGATACACTATTTTTTGTAAGACAAACTCCTAGATATAAAAACAAAAAATGGACCAATATAATGTGAAATTTTAGTAATTTGAAGAATAGTATGATCATATTAGAAAATTGTAAATAAAATAACTTGACTAACCTGTTCCTGATGTGCATCCTGTATTCACAGGTGCCTTACATATTCCAAATTTATATTCTGTGCCATTCTTTGCTATGGTATGAAAATCTTTGTTCATCAAGGTTTGCAAATTGTACCTGCAATATCATTTCTTATAAATTTCTCCATAATAACATTTAATTGAATTATTTGATCTGATCTTACGTAAAATTTGTAAGGGGATTATTCACTGTACATTTGCCAGCAGTTGTTGCACTATGATTACGCAAAGATTCCACACTGCAAGCAGCTGCAGTTTTCCATATTAGTTGATAATCACATGATTCACTTCCTACATATTCTGGAACTGTATCCTAACAAATGTACAATACAGACTTATAGAAAAAGTAAGAATTGAATAAATAATTTGTATCATAATATTTACTATAGCTTCAAAATCACATATAAAAGAAATAGTGGTCCCAATATGTGGTGTAGTTTCATTTTTCACTTTACAAATAGCTCCTTCCTGATATTGAAGTTTCAGTTTCCCATCTTCTATAAATGGTGAATGTTTAACATCACCTAAATTTACATATCTATAATACAATTTTATTAGTAATATTCACATGTTAATAATTTAATTTAATTTAGCTTTAATTAAAAATTATATACAGGAATCACATTATTAAAACAAAAGTATTCATACTCAGTTTTTGAAGAAACAATCTCCTGTAAACAAGCTCCTGATTCCATTTGACACAGAGCATTGTGTTCAAATATCACAGAATGGCAAACATTTAATATAATTTTTGGAGATGTATTATTACCAGTGTGAATAACATAGTTTTCTGAATATCTGGTTAAAGATGATAGATCATAATGGAACCCATTATCTGTTACTGTACAATTTATTTGTTTTGGAGGTGCACAAGCAAAAATACTTTTCCATGACAAATATAAATTACACTGTTCTGATGCCTAAAATATTAATAATGAAACATAAATTTAAAATTCACTTATTACATAGTACTATGTAAAATTTCATATATTGTTAAAAGGTATATATGTTTTGCTGTAAAATATAATAATAATAAAAAATGTTTCATTCCTGATATAATTAGTCTTACATAATCAAATATTTCAGGATAAGAATTGCTTCCAGCTTCATAATCACATTTCATTATAATATTTACAGTATATTTAGTTTTAGGTGTACAATCATCACCTGTGAATACAAACATTATCCTTCCACCGGTTACATCTACTTTTGGAGGCATTTTTCCTATAACATCAAATAAGACAAAATAAAATTATTTTCATAAATGAAAGATAATGTTGATTTTAGATAAATATAGAAAAATTAGAACCTATTCCTATTTCTTCTTTGTTTCTCACTAAGCAAATTCCATATCCATCTTTCCCATTGCACTTTTCTCTCAATGGAGTGCATAGTTGCAATCGTATAGTTTCATTCAAATACTCATAATTTACATTAACATCTTTTATAGGATTTGTGAGACTTGTAAAGTTATAAGAAAAAAGACTCAAAACAGGTTCACGAATTATGCAAATATTATCATTCACTGGTGTGTCCTAAAACTAATAATTAAAATGAATATTAATAGTAGATTTAATACATACTGCAAAAACAGCAACAGTTGCAAAACAGTAAAAGGATAATAAAATGTTTAACTTGTACATTTCTTTTCTCTATTCAATGGTGTATTAATCACATTGTAAATATGTACTGTATTAACATGCATAACAATATTATTCGCAAGTACACGTTGCAATAAGCAGACGATTATCGTTAAACGATAAACGCATACGAAAGATCCAAACCACTTTATCTGAATGAAACAACGTTTATTTCAGATTGGATATCTTTAGAACTTTAAGGAAATGACAGTTGAAAAATCTCTTGGCTGTGGGTAAAAAAGTTGTACATATGTACTTCTCTACAACAGATTTTAGTGCAGAACATTAACCAATCAATGATGTTAAATTTTTCAATTTACTTAGTAATTAACTTTACTATGCTAATATACCGAAATCTGAAGTCATTGGTCAAAACTACTGATTAAGTGTAACATATTTAGAAAAATATATCTACGTCATACATGTACACATGTATAAGGGATAAACTAAAAATAGCGAAAAATATAAATTATCCAATTAATAGCGTCAACAAATGTTTAAAAATGCATTCGTTAACCATTATATGCATATATTACACATAGATAATTACGAATTTTATTATGTCTAGTTTAAAGTGCAATTTCGGCATGTATTCTAACGTTGTATGTATTATAATTATTGAAGAATCATGATATTATAGGTAGTAACACTACAGTCTTAACAGCAGTTTTGAATTTAATAAATCAATGTTTGTTTTAAATTTTGCGCAGTTGTCTTAAAATATTTTGAGTGACATTTGTTCCGTAGTGACGCATATAAAATAATCTTGACTA